GATATTCATAGTACCTACATCCTGGCATTAGGGAGAGGGGGGGAGGGGGGTGGGGGAGAGAGGGGTGGGGAGGGGGAGGGGAGGGGTGGGGAGGGGGGAGAGGGGTGGGGGAGAGAGGGGGGTGGGGAGGGGAGAGGGGGTGGGGAGGGGAGAGGGGGTGGGGAGGGGGAGGGGGTGGGGAGGGGGAGAGGGGTGGGGAGGGGAGAGGGGAGGGAGAGGAAAGAGGGAGGGAGAGGAGAGAAAGGGGAGGGAGGGAAGGAGGAGGGAGGGAAGGAGGGGAGAGAGGAGGGGAGGGGAGGGAGGGAAAGGGAGGGGAGGGAGGGAAGGAGGGAGGGAGGGAGGAAGGAGAGGGGGAGGGAGGAGGGGAGGGAAGAAGGCGGAGGGGGAAGGGAAGGAGGGAGAGGAGAGGAGAGGATAGAGGGGAGGAAGAGAGGGAATCTTGGCAAGAACAAATTATTACTGATTAAACAATTGATTCAGAGGTGTGTGTGTGTGTGTGTGTGTGTGTGTGTGTGTGTACCAGCTCTAATGCACACATGGCCGGGGGGTAGGGTATAGTACACAAACACTGTACACAGATACTAACACTCTACAGGACTCCTTTCTCAGCGGCCGGCCCTGTGACCCACCCGTGTGTATATTAATAGCTTCCAGTATTTAATAAAACACAGAGTTAGTTCACCAGTGAGCTATATTAAAAACTTTACCTTGACACACACACACACGCATACACACACACACACACACACACAATTATTTTATTGCTCACCTGGCCGTTAAATAGCTCCAACCATTAATAAATACAATGAGTCAGTTAATTAGCTTTATATAAACAAAATCTCATTCATGTGGATAAAAAAAACCTAATCAAATATTTTCGTCAACGGTTAATTAAAACAGTAAAATTAATATATATGTTAAAGTACTCCATCTAATCATCGAAATTAATAGCTCCAATTACCAATACCACTAATTACTCCCGTCAATGAGCAATAAAATTAATACCAATATCTAAAAAAAAAAAACAATTATCTAATCACCTCGAAGGACAAGGGGTAATTTTAGTTAATTACACATACTAATTACATCTTCTCTATTGCTCATTATTTATTCATATTCTTCCTCTTCCTCTCTTCTATAGTTAGGGATTCCATAGATGTAATTAGCAGTCATTAAGCCCGAGATGAACCCATATATGAGGGGGGGAGGGGATGAGGTGGGGGGAGGGAGGGGGGGAGAGGGGATGAGGTGGAGGGAGAAGAGGGAGGGGGGGAAGAGGGAGGGGGGGGGAAGAGGGGTGGAATGAGGAATGGGAGGCAGAAGGGGAATAACAGTAGGGAAGGGAAGAGAACATAACATAAGGAGTCTGCAATAAGCCGGTTGGCCTGTGCATGGCAGCTCCTGTCGAGAGTTACAACCACTCTCTATCATCCATGAATCTATCTAGCCTCCTTTTGAAACTTTCCAGCGTTCCAGCACTTACTACAAAGTTGCTAAGCTTGTTCCACTCGTCCACCACCCTATTTGTGAACCAGTTTCTTCCTATCTCCCTCCTAAACCTAAACTTATCCAACTTAAATCCGTTGCTCCGAGTCCTATCCTGCTCGTATATTATAAGAACTTTATCTATATCCCCTTTATTAATTCCTTTCACCTGCCTAAATACTTCTATCATATCTCCCCGCACTCTTCGTCTTTCTAGGGAATGCAAGTTTAGTTTCTTTAAACCATCCTGATATGGAAGGTTTCTAAGTCCCGGAATCATTTTCGTCATTCTTCGCTGCACCGACTCTAGTGAATTGATATCCATTCTATAATAAGGGCCAGAACTGAACCGCATAATCGAGGTGCGGCCTGACTAGCGCAAGATATAGTTGCAATAAGACCTCTGCACTCTTATTACTTACACTTCTAGATATAAAAACCAATACTCTGTTTGCCTTACTTATTTCGAACATTAACGCACTGTTTTCTAGGCCGTAGGTCCGGGCTTACAAGTACCCCTAGGTCTCTTTCACAAGTCTACTTCTCTAGGTTGATGTTGTTAAGGCTGTATACATTGACAGTATATGTTCTTCCAATATTAAGTACGCTGCACTTGCTGGTGTTGAATTTCATTTGCCATTTTTCAGACCACCCCTGCAGTTTATTTAGATCCTCCTGTAATGCATTTGCATCCTGCCCTGAATTAATCTGCCGCCCTATTTTGGTGTCATCCACAAACTTGCTTATGTCACTGCTGATCCCAGTATCTAGATCGTTTATGTAGATTATGAACAAGAGTGGGCCTAGGACTGACCCCTGGGGAACCCCACTGGTTACACGGCCCCACTCAGATTTAACACCATCTACGCTGACCCTCTGCGTTCTATCGGTGAGCCATGATTTTATCCAATTTAAAACTTTCCCCTCGATACCATGAGCCTTAATTTTTCTCAGAAGCCTCTGATGCGGTACTCAGTCAAATGCTTTGCTAAAGTCTATGTAAATAACATCGTAATTTTCGTCATTATCTACTACCTCGAAGACTTTCCTAAAAAACGTCAACAGATTTGTTAGACAAGATTTTCCCTTCGTAAACCCATGTTGAGAATCGTAGATTAATTTGCTTTTCTCTAGATGCGATCGGATGCTATCTGCTATAATTGATTCAAGAAATTTCCCCACTACTGACGTCAAACTGATCGGCCGGTAATTTGACGCTGATGCTCTGTCTCCCTTTTTGAATATGGGTACTACATTTGCCTGTTTCCACAAGTCTGGCACAAGTAAGGGGAAAAATGAAGGAGGTGGGGAAAAGAGAAGTAAGAAATACAGAGGAAAAGAGCGGTAAGAAGGAAGGAAGGAAGGAAGGAAGGAAGAGAAAAGAGGAGGGAGAGAAGGGGAGTGAGAGTCCAGCTTGTATACATCTCAGTAGCGATGATATATGAGAGGCAATTTATGAGGCTCTCCTCCCCTCACCCCCCCCTGATTACCTGGATCAGGGGGTATAAGGGAGGGAAGCACCACCTACCTCAGGGTACACGAGGGGGAGGAGGGGGTGGTGAGGAGGGAGGGGGGTGGAGGAGGGGTGAAGGGAGAAAGGGAGAGAGGGAGAGTGGGAGAGGGAGAGAGAGAGAGTGTGTGTGTGTGTAGAAAAAGGTAGGGTTGAAGGGAGGTGAGGGAGGAACTCAGGTGATTGGCCAGGTATCGACCAGTGAGAAGTTTATCTGGCAAGGGCAGGGGGGGGGGGGAGTAGTAGAGAGGGGATAAGGGGGTACCACGTTACCTACCCACCACCCCCTTCTCTCTCTCTCTCTCTCTACCCTTCTCTCTCTATCTTTCTCTGTCTCTCAATTTCTCGCTTGTATTCCTTTCCACATTCTTTTCCCACCCTTACTATCTCCTCTCAACATCTCTCTCTGTTTACATTTTATTTTCGTAATACATTCTTCCTCGTCTCTCTCCCCTCAATCTCTTCTCTCACAATCTCTCCCTCATCTCTTGTATCCAGTGAGTCGTTTACAGCGTCCACCAACAGAAAACGGATAGGCGTCATCACAACAGAAAACAGACGCTTCCTTATAAACCTCCAGAGCTATTTTTCATTATTAATTACTTCAGAAAAAAAGCAAAACATAGGAAAGTAAAAATTCTTATAATAATAATAATAATAATAATAATAATAATAATAATAATAAGTCAAAACTACAAGACCCTGAAATAGATGGTGTCAAATAATGCCCAAAGTGTCCAGAGAGTTTTGACAGTAAGTGTACAGATGTGTCGTATGGATCACCTGAAGATTAGCACCTCTCCCGGAGCTTAACTTACTGTAAGATTAAAACACCCTAATGTTACCTGAGGGGGTTAGGTTAAGTTAGGTTAGTTCAGCGTTTGGTTAGGTTATGTTAGCATTAGGGGAAGTTAGGTTAGATTAAGTTAGGTTAAGTTAGCATAGTTAATCTTAAAGTGAGATAAATTGAGGGAAGGGGAGGGAGGGGGGGTAATATTCAGGTAAACCTGCTAAACAGACAAAGATAATGCTATATCCTTCTCCCACATATGAGGCGGGGCACAAAAAATATATTAAACTTTAAACAACTCGGATCGTAAGAGTCAAAATTTTAACTCAGTGTAGCGTTACTGTTGAGAAATATTAAATATGAAGTTTTTTTTCCCAGAAACGTGTGAGTTCTCGGGCGGCGAGGTATATTATATTTATATGAAAGTTATACGTTTCAATATAGGAGGCAATGTTATATTTCCCTCTTGTAAAGTTCTAAATATAATAAAATGTAAAGAATTATACCAAGGGGGTAACATGGAAGAGGTGTGTGATTAATAATAATAATAATAATAATAATTAACGGATTATTGAAAGAGCATGGCAGACAGAAGGCTGAAAATATGCAGTTACATAATTGGGGAATGGGTTTCTTGATTGACAAATAATATACAAGTAACATAAGTGATACAAATAATGATATAAAATAACTAGGTGGGGAGAAGGTCATACTACAGGGCATTTCAACATAGTGACAGTGCAAAAAGGTAAGATTGGCTGGGAGTGAATACACTGGTTGATTACAAGTTGTTGATATTTTTTTACAATGGTTGGGACTGGGTTGTTCTTATAGCGATTAGTTCGTGCTCGTATGGGCTGGATGCGGTTGTGGTGTCGCGGACGAGGGATTTCTGGTGGTAGTAGGAACCAGTGAGTGAGTGAGTGAGTGAGTGAGTGTGTGTGTGTGTGTGTGTGTGTGTGTGTGTGTGTGTGTGAGTGAGTATGTTTGTGGGTGAGTGAAAGTGAATGAGTGAGTAAGTTTGTAAGCTAGCGAGTGAGTGAGTTTGTGAGTTTGTAAGTGAGTGAGTGAGTGACTGACTAACTGACTATACGTAAATAAACAAGCCCGTACACGCATATTCACCCGTACAGAAACCCAACACATAAGACGTAAACAATTACAGTGTTGCCACATACCCAAACATCAACAATGACAGAGTTGCCACGTGCTCACCTGTAGGGGCGGGAGCTCCACATACTCGTAGTGAAAGTGGGCGCACTGGTCGAGGCGTGGGAACCGTGGCTCATCATCGACCACGCCCACGGAGCCAGTGAGGTGAGTAATTCGAGGGCCACCACGCCCCTCTCCAACGTCCCCCGACACACACAGACCACTCTGAAAGGAAAAAAGAAAAACATTTTATTTTTTTTACGCTCATATGAAGGTATTTGGAAGGTATAACAGGAGTACCTTAGTTAATGAGGAAAATATACCCACCTGAGGCAATTAATGAGTAATACCTGTTGTCAACTAATTAGGAAAATATACTTACCTGAGTTAATTAGCAAAATATACCGACATGACCTTAAGAATATTTATAAACATACACAAACACATTACTAAAACATATAAACCGAGCAAATACACGATAAAACAACTTAAAACAGGAAATAAAACACCCCATAAAACACGGGAATTAAACCAAATAAAACAAATAAAATTAATTAAACTTAATTTCTGTAATAACGTATCTCACATTAATAAAATCTGATGTAATACAGTACAGGTAATACAATATATACACTCATCATGACACACACGAGTATACAGTCATGACACACACACACACAGTCATAACACACACGTACGTACAGTCACAACACATACACCCAGTCAGAACACACACACACACAGTCATAACACTCAGCTGGCGGACCATTACAGTACCTAACACCCCCCCCCCCCCACCGCCCCTTTTTTACCCAGGACAAAAGGGCAAAAAAAAAAGTTATATTACAGAGTTTTCAATTACCACTTTTTTTTGTTCCTTTCATTGCGTAATTTTCTGTCACATCTGGTTGGGTTTAGTGTTTATATTAACAGAGTAATGTTTATAGTGTGTGTTTGAAGAGTAATGTTTATAGTGTGTGTTTGAGGAGTAATGTTTATAGTGTGTGTTTGAGGAGTAGTGTTTATAGTGTGTGTTTGAGGAGTAATGTTTATAGTGTGTGTTTGAAGAGTAATGTTTATAGTGTGTGTTTGAAGAGTAATGTTTATAGTGTGAGGAGTAATGTTTATAGTGTGTGTTTGAGGAGTAATGTTTATAGTGTGTGTTTGAAGAGTAATGTTTATAGTGTGTGTTTGAAGAGTAATGTTTATAGTGTGTGTCTGAAATGTGTTAACGACCTGTGACACTCGATTCAAAATTTTAAGCAGAAGCTATACCAATATTAATAATGATTCAACGCTGACGCAACGATTTAACACTGACGCAATGATTCAACGCTGACGCAATGATTCAACACCAGGACAACAATAAAAGCGCTTTCACTATCCTCTGAATGAGTGTTTGAAGGATAATATTTAAAACTATGATGTGTGTGAATGTGTGTGTGTGTGTGTGTGTGTGTGTGTGTGTGTGGATGTGTGTGTGTGTATGTGTGTGTGTGTATGTATGCATGTGTGTGTGTTTTTGTACGTAGTCGTTACAACAAACACCATGTACACAATTAGCATGATCTAGACAGGTGCATGTAAACCACCTCCCCACCCAGCAGCTGACCAATGAGAGGTGGTGGGGGTGCCATTACAGTCCGCTGGTTGGTTAATTACCTGCCACTCTTAACGAGGCTGTTGGGTTAGTTCACCTTGCACACCTTAGGCACCAAGTGTTGCTGTATATCGTATCTCCTATGTTACTGTATATACCTCGTTATCCGTATCTCCCATGTTACTGTATATACCTCGTTATCCGTATCTCCCATGTTACCGAATATACCTCGTTATCCGTATCTCCCATGTTACCGAATATACCTCGTTATCCGTATCTCCCATGTTACTGTATATACCTCGTTATCCGTATCTCATGTTACCGAATATACCTCGTTATCCGTATCTCCCATGTTACCGAATATACCTCGTTATCCGTATCTCCATGTTACACTGTATATACCTCGTTATCCGTATCTCCATGTTACCGAATATACCTCGTTATCCGTATCTCCATATTTACCGAATATACCTCGTTATCCGTATCTCCCATGGATAAAGGATAACACAAAAATACTGTATCTTCACTACTAAACATCAACCACATCACTGAATCCGGATAAGGGGAGGATGTTCGATTCATTGAAGGGTAAAGGGGGAAGGGAGAGGATGTTCGACTCATTGAAGGGGTAAAGGGGGAAGGAGAGGATGTTCGACTCATTGAAGGGGTAAAGGGAAGGGAGAGATGTTCGACTCATTGAGGTTAAGGGGACGGGAGGATGTTCGATCATTGAAGGGGTTAAGGAGAATGTTCGACATTGAAGGGGTTAAGGGCGGAAGGGGAGGATGTTCGACTCATTGAAAGGGGTTAAGGGGGACGGGGGAGGATGTTCGACTCATTGAAGGGGTTAAGGGGAAGGGGAGGATGTTCGACTCATTGAAGGGGTTAGGGGGACAGGAGAGGATGTTCGACTCATTGAAGGGGTTAAGGGGAAGGGAGGATGTTCGACTCATTGCAAAAGGGTTAAGGGGACGGGAGAGGATGTTCGACTCGAAGAGGGGGTTAAGAGGGACGGGGGAGGATGTCTGACTCATTGAAGGGGGTTAAGGGGGAAGGGGAGGATGTCGACTCATTGAAGGGTTAGGGGACGGGAGAGATGTTCGACCTCATTGAAGGGGGTTAAGGGGGACAGGGAGGATGTCCGACCCTTGAAGGGGTAAAGGGGAAGGGAGAGGATGTTCGACTCATTGAAAAGGGTTAAGGGGGACGGGGAGGATGTTCGACTCATTGAAGGGTAAAGGGGAAGGGAAGGATGTTCGACTCATTGAAAGAGTTAAGGGGGACGGGGAGGATGTTCGACTCATTGAAGGGGTAAAGGGGAAGGGGAGAGGATGTTCGACTCATTGAAAGGGGTTAAGGGGGACAGGGGAGGATGTTCGACCCATTGAAGGGTTAAGGGGGACAGGAGAGGATGTTCTGACTCATGAAAGGGGGTTAAGGGGGACGGGGGAGGATGTTCTGAACTCATTGAAAGGGGTTAGAGGGGACGGGGAGGATGTTCGACTCATTGAAGGGGGTTAAGGGGGACGGGGAGATGTCTGACTCATTGAAAAGGGTTAAGGGGAAGGAGAGGATGTTCGACTCATTGAAAGGGGTTAAGGGGAAGGAGAGGATGTTCGACTCATTGAAAGGGGTTAAGGGGACGAGGGAGGATGTTCGACTCATTGAAGGGGTTAAGGGGAAGGGAGAGGATGTTCGACTCATTGAAAGGGGTTAAGGGGACGGGGAGGATGTTCGACTCATGAAAGGGTTAAGGGGACGGAGAGGATGTTCGACCCATTGAAGGGTTGGGGGAAGGAGGATTCTGACTCATTGAAGGGTTAAGGGGGACTGGAGAGGATGCTCGACTCATTGAAGGGGTTAAGGAAGGGGAGGATGTTCGACCCATTGAAGAGTTAAGGGGGGACGAGAGGATGTTCGACTCTTGAAAGGGGTTAAGGGAAGGGAGGATGTCTGACTCATTGAAAGGGGTTAGGGGACAGGAGAGGATGTCTGACTCCATTGAAAGGGGTTAAGGGGACGGGGGAGGATGTCTGACTCATTGAAGGGGTTAAGGGGGACGGGGGAGGATGTTCGACTCATTGAAAGGGGTTAAGGGGACAGAGAGGATGTTCGACTCATTGAAGGGGGGTTAAGGAAGGGGAGGATGTTCGACCCATTGAAGGGGGTTAGGGGACAGGAGAGGATGTTCGACTCATTGAAGGGGTTAAGGAAGGGGGAGGATGTTCGACTCATTGAAGGGGGTTAAGGGGAAGGGGATGTTCGACTCATTGGAAAGGGGTAAAGGGGGAAGGGGAGGATGTTCGACTCATTGAAGGTTAAGGGGGAAGGGGAGGATGTTCGACCATTGAAGGGGGTTAAGGGGGACGGGAGGATGTTCGACTCATTGAAGGGGTTAAGGGGGACAGGGGAGGATGTTCGACTCATTGAAGGGGTTAAAGGGGACGGGGAGGATGTTCGACTCATTGAAGGGGGTTAGGGGGACGGGAGGGATGTTCGACTCATTGAAAGGGGTTAAGGGGGACGGGAGGATGTTCCGACTCATTGAAGAGGTTAAGGGGGAGGGGAGGATGTTCGACTCATTGAGGGGTTAAAGGGGAAGGAGGATGTTCGACTCATTGAGAGGGTTAGGGGGACAGGAGAGGATGTTCGACTCATTGAAAGGGGTTAAGGGGGACGGAGGATGTTCGACTCATTGAAGGGGTTAAGGAGGAAGGGAGAGGATGTTCGACTCATTGAAGGGGTTAAGGGGGACAGGGGAGGATGTTCGACTCATTTAAGGGGTAAGGAGGAAGGAAGAGGATGTTCGACTCATTGAAGGGGGTAAAGGGGAAGGGAGAGGATGTTCGACTCATTGAAGGGGTAAAGGGGAAGGGAGAGGATGTTCGACTCATTGAAGGGGTAAAGGGGAAGGAAGGATGTTCGACTCATTGAAGGGGGTAAAGGGGACGGAAGGATGTTCGACTCATTGAAGGGTAAAAGGGGAAGGGAGGATGTTCGACTCATTGAAGGGGGTAAGGGGGACGGGGAGGATGTTCGACTCATTGAAGGGGGTAAAGGGGGAAGGAAGAGGATGTTCGACTCATTGAAGGGGGTAAAGGGGGAAGGGAGAGGATGTTCGACTCATTGAAGGGGGTAAAGGGGGAAGGAAGAGGATGTTCGACTCATTGAAGGGGGTAAAGGGGGAAGGGAGAGGATGTTCGACTAATTGAAGGGGGGTTGTACATACACCTTGTTCCATTACCTTCTTGTTGCTACGTTAATGAACCCTTTGCGCCATTAACATAGGAACCAAATTGGGGGTTTAAGGAAGGGGGAGGGAGACTCTGTGGTAATTAGAAGCCAGTGTTAACCTAGTCTTATACGATATACAGAAGCTATATGTTACTAATTTCTTATAAAAAAAAGTCAAAATTATATAACAAATTCTGGTAGTTCAAGTATGTAAACAATCACTCAACGGTACTAGACTTCCTAAGCCTTGTAATGCTCAAATTTCATCTCTAATGGTTATGTTGTTATATGAACCCTAACTGACTGACTGACTGACTGAATGACTGACCGACTGACCAATATGTAGACCAAAGGGGGTGGGGGGAGACATATCCGGTCTTTGTGGTACATG